CGCAATGCGATGCTGACCATCTGTCCCAAAATTCCATGTTAACGTATCAAATTACATCTTGTGATACATATTACTTAGGCAGCATATATTTTAAGTTCAGTTTTTTTATGTCTGCTTTCCTAAGTGACCATGAAAATAAATTTATCGTGATATTCGAACTACAGTTAGGTTTTTTGGTATTTTTTAGATCTTGATGAAACTGCGAACTTCACGAAAGGTGTCACGATTCAAATTTTCACCGTTATTCGCTACGATAATCCGCGTATCCTGAGATTTATCGAGTTTATGAGCCCCTTTAGAAACGGAAAGTTTGCGTTAATGCTTAGGCAGTCTTCAATTTGAAAAAAAAGTACTTTTGAAGTTGCGAAAATTCCCATCAGAGAATTCAGAAGAGTATTTGGCAAGAATACATAGCTTTCGATAAATTCTCATCGGGCCGTTACAATTATATAGGGAGGGGTGCAAATTAACATGCTGGTAATCAAGTTATCACAAAGCGCAAATTAGTCATGGGGATGAGGAAGGGGGTGTGGGGTTGGTAGTGATCAGCTAATGAGGGTTTGTTGAGTCCAGAATTTTGCCCAAAAATATTAGCCTTGACCTCTGTTCGGCCAAGCAAGTGATCAAGTGCGCGTTTGGCATGATAGCAGTTCAAACCGTTGCAAAATGGGTAACGGACCCACCCAGCCGGATGATGTTAAAGCGGATGTACTTAGCGAAAGTCCCACAACAAGACTAGGTAATATGCTCTTCCAGAGCCGAGCCATAGGTGATAACTGTGAAGAGGATGGTCAGTGGTCTGATGGATAGTATAACCATAAAATTGACCTACTGACGACAGTAGTAACGCCTTTCATATGTTAGCAGAAAAGCCGTCAGTGCGTTTCTTGGCTTTTTGGCCGTTTTTCTCAATGAAAATTAGATGCTCACGGGATAGCCGAAAATGCTCCAGGTAGAAAATGAACCCCTTGGGGATATCAGCAGTCCAAAATGAACTGAGCTAGAAAAACGGGGCAGAGGAAATGGGATGACCCCCTCAGCAGAACACGTCTCTCCGGGTACTCACTGAAAAAGCCTTCCCAACAGAACTCGACCTGCAGCACCATGGTTAAGTAAGTAACAGCGTTGGTGAGTATTTAGACATGCACGTGGTTTTAAAACTCCGGCAGTTTCTCGTCTGTGAAAGCTCACGCACAAAAAAACAATGTGTAAAGTTGGATTAACGCAGCTGCATTTGACCCTGAATAAACTACAAATGGTCCCTTCACGGTCAGAAAGAACTGTCAACGAAACCGCTGCAAAGATATTTTATCCTCTGCGTTAACTTCGATGGCTAGCCGACGTCGACCTTTTCAAAACCTCGCAATCAAGAAAGGCGGAGAAACTCAAAAAATCCAAGGCAACGGTCACGTGTTGTTTGCTCTTCTGTTGCGATACAGACACAGAAATAACTGAGGACGCTGGACTATGGAGCGCCAATGGTATGCAGTCGGAACTGTAATCATAAGAAATTCGAGCCCCCGCTAAATAACTGACGGTATTCCTGTGCAGCAGCGAGGGATACATCCATATACGATTACTTCAATTTTGTCAAAATAAATGCCTATCTCAAGCATTAAATGTTTGAAAACGTTTTAAGATTAATTAGACTATGCCATCGCGATTGGGCATTTCCCCAATGATAATATATGCAGTATACCCTCCAGCATGCCAGAAATTCCATGCTCTCATATCCGTCATTGCAGGCCCTTCTACGTTCATGATAATATCTGACTGTATGGAGAGAAATAACTGAAATTACAGGTAATGGACTGCACTAGAGCGCTTCGAGTGCAGAGAAAAACACGCTAGAGGAAGCCTAAGATTTTACCCAGGAAAACCTGGCATTTGATGACTGAATAATGGCAACCCAAGTGACTCGTGAATCAAAGGACTACTATTAGTCGACTGCAGGCAAAAGACGCGATAAATTATAAGGTGGGACAAACTCTGGCTTGATCCAGACCCCCTGGCTTCTATCCAAAAATAGATTATCCGAGTGAGTGAATGCATTAGGTAACAAAATTTCGCAGTACTTGAATATATCTCTACACAACCTCAAAACGCGGTTATCTTGTGAATTGAGCCTGCTTTCGTACTAAGTAACCATAACTTTGCAACTCACAGACTGCTATTCATTGATACCTCCAAAAAACATCGAACATACTTTTGCATAACGAACCGCCTACCTTTTTGACTACAATAATCGTCGTAAACTCCAAGATTTCGTCGTTGACTCGGAGGTTTCACACGTTGTCTTCGGCGACTAAACCACTCGTAAGCTCATAAAACTCTAATTTAGCTTACAAACCTAACACATAACACAATAACAGCGCCTCATCAAATCGACACAGGTTCACCGGAAAAATTATTTGAGCCTTTTTATACTATAAGCCCAAAAAGTGTGAGGCCACATTTAACAATTTATTATTTCCTTACAAAAGCTACCACTGAAGTATTTTCTTAGCCCTTAATTTTAAGAAGATATTTTATTTATTTATCTTTTCACTCCATCGAGCTCAAGTTTCCTTGCAAACAGGTTGAGCCTGCTATTGCTCATTGTCCTCTAGCACCCACTGATGGTTATGCACTGCTTGTAATTTAGCACCTATTCGACTGCTTGTAGACAGGTAATAAAAAAATTTCGAAATATTTTGAAAACTTAAGAAGTCTCCAGTCTTAAGTAGATCTAAAACTTGCACGAGTAAGCCTGGGAACAACCGCATATCCACCGATATGTTTACCTCGAGGAGTGAATTGGCAAATACGTACTGATTTATTACAGCCGTTAAAGCACGCTTTGAAACATCACGTTATGTAGAGTTCGGACTTTGTTTCGAGGAAGTCTGAGTGGGACTGCAGAATGGCCATTAAATACTAATAGTGTCGGTGTTGGGAACGGTAACATTTGAGCGAAGACATGTTAATGCGATATATTTTTAACTTAGAGTAAACTGCCGGACTCATGTAACGCAATAAAATTTTGCGCATGAATAAAGTTATTAAAACTGCAATTGTTGACAAGTAATTCAGACCTGTGTAAGAAAAATTTCAGTACGTAAAAAGGGGGTGCGATAAAATTTTAAACCCTGCAAGTATGCTTACGATTCAGAAATTTCAAATATCATTGCGGTACACACAAATTGAAAATGGCATATTACTTATCTGATTGCAAAAACGTTCTTTAATCGGCACCGTGCTAATGCTCAAATAGAGGCATTTGTAACGAAAACTTTCGGCAGAACCAGCACTACGAAATGAAACAAATAACTCACCTAGGAAATGTTGTTAAGCACATTATATAGCAGTTTTCAGGCAGGCGTTTCTGAACCAGATCACGACGTCGCTGCATATTATATTCCACCGTATTCAAATACTCTGGAAGATGCCCAAATGGTTTTCCAGGTGTACCCTCAATCATATAGGCAGCGTATTCAGGCCTCCACAGCATATCTATGGGGGTACCACTAAAATAATTTTTAAAAAGAGGGAGTAGAGGGCACATAAATAATTTATTAAGCAAACTCCGAACTACGTAACAAAAATTTAGAACACAGACCTGGAACCTCAGTCTTAAAGTATGCGTCCTATTCAAAATTGGCACTATGAGTGCTATATAGTACTCACCGATTCATGAATATTAGTGATTACTTAGACTACGCAAAGCTAACAAAGTGTACAAAGCCAACCTAGACAGCACTCGCGAAAGTTCTCTCTTGCCTAAACCTTTCTCCAAGCACGTGTGCTTTCAATAAGACACATGGTACCTCACAGTTGAGATTAGTGACAGCTTAAAGAACGCCACTTATTACCCTTTCACGTACGCGAACGGACTTTGTAAACCCATAATGAGTGGTTTGCGAGCACTGTCAGGAAGAAGTGCTCGTAGTGATAGGATGTACAATTTACACCTACCTGCTTTTCTGTTTGTTTGAAGACAGTACTTTGGCTAACTCTCAGACTAGCAGACACTCAATGCCAGTGTAGATCGGCTCTTGACATAACCA